CAAGTCTATATAGTAAATAAAAGTATAAAAGCCTATAATTTGGTAATCAAATAAATTAGTTTGTCATTCAAATTAGGTCTAATAGGATTTTTTAAATTCACGTAACGCTGTCAGTGAAATTTTATTTTATAGAGAGAGACGCAGCAGCAGCATCAACAGAAAATAACTGAGGAATTTAAAACGTGGATGCGCTTAGCCTGTATATTCTTTAGGCTATTAAGCCCACTGATTCCTTTATTTTTAAGCCTATTTTGTGTGGAATGCCATTGCCAAACCTGTCCATTGTTGCCTATATGTTGTTAGAACAGAAAATATTTATTTTTAAAGTGCCGTTGCTCACATTTCTTTATGATATAAGGCATCGGTTTAAGGTGATATTTGTTAGGTATGCAGATTATTTGTCCCTCTTTTAAATTGGAGCGAGCGAACGAGGAGCGGTGTTGAGCGGAGCGACTTAATGTGAATTAGAGCGGAGGAGCGGGCGGAGCCAACAGCCTCGTGAGCGAGGAGCGGAGATTCTCACCGCTCCACTCCGCTCACATGCTCTGGATATTAATGCCTGTGTCGATGATTTGCCGAATCAATATAATCAAAATGAATATAGTGCCCAAAATCTTATACCTATTTCAGTCAATCCCTCTTCCATTACCAAAAACATTTTTTGATAGTCTGAACAGTAAATTTATTAAATTCATTTGGAATAATAAGAAGCCTGAGGCTGCTATATTTGCCTTTTGAAAGAGGGGGTTTAAGACTACCGAACTTTAAATGGTATTATTGGTCAGCTCAGTTATGTTCCGCGATGTGTTATTTCTTAACGGAGTCTCTTCCTGCTTGGGTGAATATTGAACAGACGTCAGTACCGAACCTGCCACTAATACAATACTTATACTCTGCAGAACCCACAACATTAAAAAGAATAACACAAAACCCTTTTCTTAGAAACACTATCGATATCTGGTATAAAGCACATCTGCACTCCCCCAATTTCTCGCTTTTCTCCCATATGGTGTAATACGTTTTTCAAGGCTGGAAGAGCAGATGGTGGCTTCAAAATCTGGGCAAGCAAAGGCATGCAGAAAGTAGAGGATCTTTATACAGATGGTACCTTGATGACGTTTAATCAATTATGTCAGACGCATTGTATTCCCAAGGAACATTTTTTTAAATACTTGCAGTTAAAACATTTCATGTTGTCAAAACAAAAGAATATAACGTCTGAGCCACCACTATCCTATCTTGTAAATCTCATACGTCTCAGTCTAAATGGGAGGAGACATCTCTCTCTGTTCTATGCAGCCTTAATGTCACATGATAATGAATCTACCATTGATAGGTTAGAAGCATGGAGATTAGGTACCCAAGAGAATATTGAAGAGACAGAGTGGGAAATGGCATGCTTACAGGTGCAAAAGCAGTCAGTTAATATGAGAATGAAGATCTTACAATATAAATGGTTAATGAGGACTTATATTACACCAGCCCAGCTTAATCAGTGGTCCCCTGGCGTTCCTGACAGCTGCACCAAATGTTTAGAGGAGAGAGGAACTTTATATCATTGTGTATGGAGCTGTCCTAAATTACAACAATATTGGAAACGGATTGTTCAAACTATATCTGAGATTGCTAAAGTGGAGGTCTCTTGCGGGGCGAAACTATGTATACTAGGCATATATCCTAAAAATATTATTGTTAATTCAAAGCAGGTAATTTTATTAGACTTTGGACTCCTGTAGGCCAGGAGAATGATAGCTTTGTTTTGGAGGAAAATGGATGTACCTTCGATACAGTTATGGGTGAAGGAGATGGCATATGAAATTACAATGGAGAGATTGACCTATATAATAAAAGGGAAAGCAAAAGCATTTGAAACAATCTGGAAACCATTAGTTGTATTCCTTGACTGTAAAGGTGTGCGATTGTTTTAAATTTGCCATATTGCTGAGTGTGTTTATAATTATGTAAACTTATTATATTTGTTTATTTATTTTATATATATATATATTTTTTTTTAATTGTTACTTTTATTATTGTTGTTTTTTAATTATTATTTGTTTGTTTATTTTGATTGTATGTTTCTGTTATTTAAATTACTAATTGTCATTGCTTGTTCTTTACGTTTCTCTATCTGTATATTGTATAAAACCAATAAAAAAAAAAAAAAACTTTGTCGTATTACATAGACTTGTATGCAAGGACAACATAAGCCCCTAGTGATTGTGACGTTGTCGACGGATAAACCCGTATAAAGGATGTACATGTTAGTTTCCTCATCAAACTGCGCAAAGTCATGCACTTTTTATCTAGACGTCTGACAAATTTTTCGAATCTCCGCTCTGGAATGCAAAAAAAGTTGCACAGAAGGACCATTGTCAGGATCAGCTCAAGTGAATGGTAACCACGCTTTCGAACAAACCGTTTTCTCCGCCATGCATTGTTCTTGGCAGCTCTGTGTCTCCGAGGACGGCGCTGTCTGTGATCGGGGCAGAGTAACGAGGCATTCACACATGCTGCAGTGTTTGAGAGCTGCCTGCTCCGCCCCACACACAGAGTGAAACACTCCGACACAAGAAAACAAAACAGAACTGATAACATCGGGCTGATATGGTAAAAATTAAAATGTTAACGATTAAAAAAACATTTGTGAGCCCACCAACAAGCGCACAAAACTGACTCTGTCAGAATTAAAGATCCTTAACGTTACCTGTAAGCTACAGTTGGTTGAAGGCTCATTATCATTACCTCAGTTCCCGACAGCGTAATTCGTGTTCTCTTTCAAAAGCACTCGCGTTTTCTTTTAAAGCAACATTTCATAGCAAACCAGTTAAATAAATAGGTATTTTAAAGATCAGAATTTAAGCCTTACTGTTTCCTCCCAGGATTCTTCTAAAACTTCTGGCTGAGGTCTTGCACAAGGCAGCATGGGTCACGTGTTCCACAGCAACAATAACACTGGGCTGCCCGCAGACGTGCCTGTCTGAAAATCGGCGTAGTGCACTCGGATATCGGGCGATTTCAATACATTAAAAAATGCTAAATATCGGCCCGATATATCGGCCCGGCCGATATATCGGTCGACCTCTAGCAGGGGTGCACTTTGGCTAAAGGACCCTTTCATTTCTGCATCATAGTAAAGTCAAGTAATCTGTAGGTTGTGCTGGTGTTGCCAGTGTTCCCAGAAGGAGGTGTTTCGTGTCGCAGGATACCCTGGATATTATCAAGAGGAGTCGCAGCACACGATTCGGTGGCAACTCCAGTCTGTACTGGGAACTGAGGTGGACATCTGTGAGGGCTCTGAGGGCAAATAAGGAGCCATTTGTTAGATGGGTGACACCACCTGTGGTCTAGTGACCCATATCCTTCTTACAGTGGAATCAAAGCATTACACACATCTGAATCTGCTCCTCTGAGACTTGCCGTCAGGGTGGGTGATGAAATAGTCCTTACGAATTACTTCAGTTGTGACCCGCTGGGCCGGCTTCTTTGAGAAGTTGTTTAAAGCTGATCCTCCAGCTAGGAATTTGGACATCTCTAGGTTCACGGTTCTCAAGGCTTATCCTCCAATCAGCTGTGAACCACCCAGTCTCACTGAGATTGCCTGGGTGGTGAATCAGCTGGGGGCAGGGAAGGCCGCAGGGATCTGTGGTATTCAGGGTGAACTTCTCCAGACTGGTCGTAAGGCTGTCCTGGCATTGCAGGCAATCTTTGCTGCCATTTGGGAGGCAGGAACCATCCCAACTGACTGAAATGGGACAGTCCCACCTGGAAAGGGAAGGGTGGTTTCCCAGATTGTGGCAACTACAGGGGGATACCACTGCTTTCAGTGTCAGGTAAGGTCCTTGCTAGGGTTATCCTTAACAGGATCCATGATCACTTGCTCGCCAGTCTGGTTTTACATCTAAGAAGTCTACCATCGACCGTGTCCTTGCACTGAGGGTTCTCATCAAGTGCAAGTGCGAGTATCGGTAGAGGCTCTTTGCAGCCTTTGTCGATTTATGTAAAGCGCTTGACGCAGTTGATCAAGTTGCCCTGTGGGACATCTTGAGACTTCGCAGGATCCCCCCGAAGTTGCTAGACATCATGGCCGGCCTGTACACTAGTACTGTGAGTGATGTGCAGAGTGGAGGGAGAACCTCTTAGGCACAGTCATCAGTAGCCGTCATCTGTTGACGAGGTTGACATTCACTCCGCAGACAGATTTATTTACCTTGGAAAGGGGTGTGTGGTGTTCCCAATATGTTTGGAAGTGGACGAAGGTCCAAGTCTTTAGAGTCCTGGTGCTCCCTGTCTTGCTGTATGGCTGTGAGACATGGAAGCTATCCAGTGAGCTGAGATGAAGACTGGACTTGTTTGGTACTGTGTCTCTTCGGAGAATCCTTGGGTACCGCTGGTTTGACTTTGTGCCAAATGAGCGATTGCTAGAGGAATCCAGAATGAGGCACATTACATGCATTGTGAGGGAGCATCAGTTACAGCACTACAGCCTGTGGCACATTTCCCTGAGGGTGAACCAGCTCGCAGGATCCTCATTACTGAGAACCTGAGTGGCTGGACCTGGCCAAGGGGACGCCCACGTAACACCTGGCTGCAGCAGATGAATGGCTGTTTCCGGAGTGTGTTACTGGACCGTGTGTCTGCCTGGGGGGATCGCCAGCTGGGATCTGTGGAGTTTTGTTATGTGGTGGGTGCGGCAATGTGCTGCATCAGTACATGCTCCCCGACCTGACCTGTAATGTGGATCCACACCTATAGTACCAGTAACTTGTATTTGAAGCAGAGAAAGGATTGAAAATCAGATGGGGAAGCTTGTATTGCCCGTAATGTATGGCAAAGAAATGTAAAATTACAAAAAATATCTGCAAAATGCAGTCACAATTCACAGTTTGCACAGGGCATCCGTTACCTTATTTTTATATGTATATTTCTTTCCTTAATATTCTTAATATTCCCTGCCGGCTCCCCGGCTCTCTCTCTCTCTCTCTCTCTCTCTCTACACACAGTTCAGGTGCTGTGGTGGCCAGGAGTACACTGACTGGCAAGTGAACATGTACCACAACTGCTCAGCCCCAGGTCCCCTTGCCTGTGGTGTCCCCTACACGTGCTGCGTATCCAGCAAGGTGCGTACAAGTGGGTGCATGTGCTAAGCCTGAGTTACTACTACCACTTACTAATACCATGTGTTATTCAACAGTTAGTTTCAACCAAGAAATCTGATTGGACAAGAGCTATATCTCTACGCTTTTCAGGTGTATCTAAAAACCATTACATACAGTTGTGTTCAGAATAATAGTAGTGTGTCTAAAAAAGTGAATAAAGCTGAAAATCCTTATAATAGTTTTTATTTCCATACATTCCAATGCATTGGGAACACTACAAATTCTATTTCAAATCAAAACAAGAAGAGAAATTCATCACATTTGTGTTATTCCTTTGCAGAAAATGAAGGAAAGGGAATATTAGGCTGTTCAAAAAAATAGCAGTGTCCACATTCTTCTTTACAAACTCAAAGATTCACTGTATGAACTGAAAAATGTTTTATGATTTTGCTTTCCTTTGAATCATTGAACTAATATTTAATTGTATAACCACTGTTTCTGAGAAATGCTACACATCTGTGTTGTATGGAGTCGACCAACTTCTGGCACCTGTGAACCGGTATTCCAGCCTGATTGGACTACATTACTTCGTTTTGCCTCAGAAAGAGCATTTTTGATGTCACCCCACAAGTTTTCTATTGGATTAAGGTCCGGGGATTGGGCTGGCCACTCCATAACATCAATCTTGTTGGTCTGGAACCAAGATGTTGCTCATGTGGTCGGGGTAGTTTTCTTGTTGAAACACCCATTTCAAGGGCATTTCCTCTTCAGCATAAGGCAACATGACCTCTTCAAGTATTTTGAGGTATTCAAACTGATCCATGATCCCTGGTTTGTGATAAATAAGCCCGCCACCGTAGTATGAGAAACATCCCCATAACACAATGCTTGCACCACCATGCTTCACTGTCTTCACAGTGTACTGTGGCTTGAATTCAGTGTTTGGGGGTCATTTGACAAACTGTCTGCAGCCACTAGACCCAAAAAGAACAAATGTTGCGGCATTTCTCTTTAGGCCAGTCAGTGTGTTCTTTGGCAAATTGTAACCTCTTCAGCACGTGTCTTTTTTTCAGCAGTGGGACTTTGCGGGGACTTTTTTGCAGATAGCTTGACTTCATATAGGCATCATCTGATTGTAACAGTACTCACAGGTAACTTTAGACCTTCTTTGATCTTCCTGGAGCTGATCATTGGCTGAGTCATTGCCATTTTGGCTATTCTTCGATCCATTCGAATGGTAGTTTTTCATTTTCTTCCACGTCTTTTAGTTTTTGGTTGCCATTTTCTAAGCATTTGCGATCATTTTAGCTGAGCAGCCTATCCTTTTCTGCACTTCTTTATATGTTTTCCCCTCTCCAATCAACTTTTTAATCAACAATGACTGGAATGACCCATTTTACTCAGAATTTCAGAGAGAAATGCACTATAACCAGCATGTACAACATTTTCTGCCTTCCTTAAATAAGGCCCATAATTGGCACCTACTTTTTCACAGAATGAATGACCTCACTAATTGAACTAAATACTGCTATTATTTTGAACACGCCCCTTTCAAGTAATGATTCTGTTACACGTAATCAGCAGCATGCATGTCATGACTGTTGGGTCTGTTGGTTTTCCATTACTCTACTACAACTACTACTAAATTATTTGCCATGTAGAAAAAAAAATTAAAAATTAATAATGATGGATGCATAGACAAATGAAAGACCCAAGCTTAAATTGCAATCTGGTTAGAACAACAACAAGATCAGGATGGCATGTAATGAAATTAAGTATTTTGTAAAATATACTAGGACAGCATGGTATTATTTTGTTGTAATGAGTACTGGGGTATTTATAAAGCAAAAAAGGAGTTCAACAATTTCTCACAAACCCATCATTTAACAGCAAGGATGAAATTGATTGTCATGGAGAATGCATGCAGTGCTCATTCAAAAGGAGTGGAGGTAAACTTTAAGCTGATTTTTAAACATATATTAGATCATGAAAAGGAATAATCATTAGAATTGCAAACCTTTTCCTATGACAGAAAATGTTTCAGCGAAACTTAAACTCCCTGCAATATAATGTCCATACAGAATTGAAAGTAAGAAAAAGCCTGATCTAGCAATGTGCAATATTATGCACATGCAATTATTACATCGTCCAACCCTATGTTATACTACAGGCATTTTTTGAATTCAGTACAAAATACCTCGCCTCATGTTGTGATGTCATTCAGCGCCGGTACCAGTTTTTTACGGCAGTGGAAAACCAAACCTTGAAGTGCTGTCCTTTTGGTACTTCAAGGAAGTATCTGGTGCAGTGGAAAAGCGCCCTTAGACTTGCATGGAAGGCAGGAAGGATAACACAGATTTCCACACAGACCTTGCAGTGTTGTTGGAAAAGCTGGGTGTTTTTTCTTAGAATATTGTCTTTAGTGGTGGAATATTGATGCCTAACCCAGAGTGATAACGGCTACATGCTCCACACCTCAGAACAATCCCCCCCTTTGCTCACAGCCTTGTGAGTTGTCTTCCCTCAACCTTCCTCTCAGTTTACTATTTCCCGAATCATCTCCTTAAAATTGTTAAAATTCCAGTGTGATCCACTTTGCTCTAAACAGGGCGGCATGGGATGGCCTGACCCCCTTTCTCTGCCTGTGAGGGGGTTTCATACCTCCTGAAGAATGCAGGGTTTCCTGTGGCACCCAAGATGGCTGCTGTAGCAGCCAGGAATATTCTAGATCAGAATTGCCACCCTGGGATCAATAACGTTAATCTTAATCCAATCTTAATCCTAGATTTGTGATCTTGGATTATGTGACAGCCCAGAGGACACTTCAATCAGGGTTTCAGAAATTGACTCCAATACCTTGTGGCTTTCACCTGCTTTGTTCTAGGCTGATCTAGGCTTGCTGATACGTGTCAATTGCCCCCTTCTTCCATACTGTATTTGGACATTTCAGTCCATTTTCCCCAGAAAGCAGGCCATCCTTATCAAGAGCCCCTAGGCCTGCCAGTGCCCTCAGGCCCCAGAAGAAAGCCAAAAATTTTCATGCGTGCCACCCACACAGATGAATGGCTTTTAAATGTGGATAGGCACCACCATGTGGCATGCCTTGCATAATATTTTTGGCTATCCTTAAACTTCTGCGTGCATTGAATACTCTGAGCATTTTGGCTCCTAAATGACACGTGATCCCCTACGAGTGTTTGTGGGGGCAAGCTGCCAGATGCCCTCCATAAGGCTCTTTTGGTTTGGTATTGGGAGCCCCCGCCCTGATCCTCTGATTTGACTTTGTGATCCAAAAATATGCATTCAGCTCAATGAGTGGTCTCTAAATGGCCCCTAGTGTGTGCCAGAGTGTCCTGTAATGGACTAGCCTCCTATCCAGGGTGTCCTTATATGAGAGAGACAGATAATGTCGCTTCTTTCAAAAAGATTTATGACCTAAAGGTCAAAAAGGTCACGGGTCAAAAGTTCACGGGGTGGGCGGGGTTGGGCCGTGGTTAGGATGGTACCATGTGATGTCACGACTAGTGACGTTGGGAGAGGGGTGGTTTAAATTTTTATTTTTTTTATTCTTAATAAATAATTAATTTTAAAATTAATTAATTTATTTGTATTTTAATTATTATTTTTTTAAATAATTTTTTATTTTATTTTGAGGAGAGTGAATTGAAGCGAGGGTCGAAGAGCCCTGTTTCCTACCATCCTTAGAGACACACACACACACAGGCAAACTGCTGCTGCAGGGGGGGGGGGTTGTCAGCTTTCACACACACAGACACAGGGCCAATCTGCTGCTGCTAAGCGTTCATTGGACGATAGCGTCAGACCCACCTCCTGTTCCTCTCATTCTTAGCTCCAACTTTCTCATTCTCCCAGAGTTTCTTTCAGTCTCGCGCAACACCGGGATAAGCTGCAGCATCGCTCTCTCTCCGAGTCCTTTGCACTATGCCCAAGTACACGCTCCGCCGGACTGACCAGGACCTTCCCAAGGTACCGCTCCACAGGCACCCCCGGCGTACGCTCACACTCCATCAGGTAACCGACCCACTCAGCTCCGTGCTCGGCACCGTCAGCCTCATAGCTCGGGGCTATTCCGACAAACCCCACTCATAAGCACACAATTCACTCTCCTCAAAATAAAATAATAATAATAAAAACTAATTTTAAAAAAATAATTAAAATAATAATAAATACATAAAAAATATGAATAAGAATAAAAATAAATAATTTTTAAAAACCACCCCTCTCCCAACGTCACTAGTCGTGACGTCACATGCTACCATCCTAACCACACCCCAACCCCGCCCACCCAGTGAACTTTTGACCTGTGACCTTTTTGACCTTTAGGTCATAAATCTTTTTGAAAGAAGTGGCATTACCTATCTCTCTCCTATGCCTCCTGAGAGGTTATGGAAAATGGATAGAATAGTGTTGGAATTTGCAGTGGGGTGGCATGCTGGGGGTAGCCTACATTAGCTTGGATCATCTGCATGATGTCCCCACTTTAAGCTGCTAACCAGATGAGTGCAGAGTACATGGATGTAATTGAGCTGTTTAGCCAAATGCGTGCATCTGAATTAGAGCTAAAGATCTTTGATCGAAGCCGACGGGAGCGGGTTCGGGCTTAATTTCTATCATTTTACACGGGCTCGGGCTTGCGCGGTAAATGAGTGGTCAAGTGATGCGTTTCGATTAGCACGAGAAAGATGCGAAAATGGATGCTGAGGTGGTGAAACGGAGGCTAGCCTCTACCTATTACATTTTGGTTGCACCAGCAATAAAAGCAAAGTTTGAGTTGTGGAAAAAGTTTTGACCATGTACATAATGAGATAATGAGCCAGTGGGTTATGTGAAATGCAAAAGACGCGACATTCTGTTAAAGTATGACAGCTTAACGACAGGGAGTGTTGCTGACAAGGCATGTTGATCGAAGCTGTTCAACACCTGCCAGTGCCAACCTATCAAATCGTTTGTTACAGCATTAAAACCCATCCCTGCAAAGGTGAAACAAATGGTGATGGAGAAGTGTCAGCTTTTGCTGTAAAGACATTAGGCCTTTTAACATCATAAATGACGAGGGGTTTGAAGAGCTGGCGTAAGAACTAATTAATGTCGGGGCTGCGTATGGGAGGGTTCCCGTAAACTCTATTATTCTCCGCCATGTGACAATTGCGATGACATGCACTGACATGGCAGAAGAAAAGAGGGAAGCTTTAGTACAGAAACTTAAGACTTTGTTGAAGGATGGCAAAGTTGCAATGACCACAGACATGTGGACAGAGGATTTTCGGAAAATTATTTATTTGACAATCACATGCCATCCATCCATCCATCCATCCATTTTCTCCTGCTTATCCAAGGTCGGGTCGCGGGGGCAGCAATCTCAGCAGGGAAACCCAGAATTCCCTCTCCCCGGCCACGTCATCCAGCTCCTCCGGGGGAATCCCGAGGCGTTCCCAGGCCAGCCGAGAGACATAGTCCCTCCAGTGTGTCCTGGGTCTTCCCTGGGGCCTCCTCCCAGTGGGACATGCCCGGAACACCTCACCAGGGAGGCGTCCGGGAGGTATCCTAATCAGATGCCCGAGCCACCTCATCTGGCTCCTCTCNCACCTCATCTGGCTCCTCTCAATGCGGAGGAGCAGCGGCTCTACTCTGAGTCCCTCCCGAATGACCGAGCTCCTCACCCTATCTCTAAGGGAGAGCCCAGCCACCCTGCGGAGGAAACTCATTTTGGCCGCTTGCACTTGCGATCTCGTTCTTTCGGTCACTACCCATAGCTCGTGACCATAGGTGGTCCGATGAAGACAACAGAACCACATCATCTGCAAAAAGCAGAGACCTGATCCTGAGGTCACCAAACTGGACACCCTCAACGCCCTGGCTGCGCCTAGAAATTCTGTCCATAAAAACTATGAAAAGAATCGGTGACAAAGGGCAGCCCTGACGGAGTCCAACCCTCACCGTTAACAAGTCCGACTTATTACCACCCATGCGGACCAAGCTCTGGCACCAGTCATACAGGGACCGAACAGCCCTTAAAAAGAAGCCCGGCACCCCATACTCCCAGAGCACCCCCCACAGGACTTCCCGAGGGACACGGTCGAATGCCTTTTCCAAGTCCACAAAACACATGTAGACTGGTTGGGCAAACTCCCATGAACCCTCCAGAACCCTGCGGAGAGTATAGAGCTGGTCCACTGTTCCACGGCCGGGGCGAAAACCACACTGCTCCTCCTGAATCCGAGGTTCGACAATACGGCGGACCCTCCTCTCCAGAACCCCCGAATAGACCTTACCAGGGAGGCTGAGGAGTGTGATCCCCCTATAGTTGGCGCACACCCTCTGGTCCCCCTTCTTAAAGAGGGACTCAATGTCCCCCGCCTCCCCCGGGACATGGGAGAAGTTCTGCCGGAGGTAGGAGTTGAAACTCCTTCTGACAGGGGATTCTGCCAGACGTTCCCAGCAGACCCTCACTATACGCTTGGGCCTACCAGGTCTTCCTCCCCCACCAGCGGAGCCAACCCACCACCAGGTAGTGATCAGTTGACAGCTCCGCCCCTCTCTTCACCCAAGTGTCCAAGACATGCGGCCGCAAGTCCGATGACACGACTACAAAGTCGATCATTGAACTGCGGCCTAGGGTGTCCTGGTGCCAAGTGCACATATGAACACTCTTATGCCTGAACATGGTGTTCATTATGGACAATCCATGACGTGCACAGAAGTCCAACAACAAAATACCGCTCAGGTTCAGATCGGGGGGGCCGTTCCTCCCAATCACGCCACTCCAGGTCTCACTGTCATTGCCCACGTGGGCATTGAAGTCCCCTAGTAGAACAAGAGAGTCCCCAGGAGGAGTGCTCTCCAACACCCCTTCCAAGGACTCCAAAAAGGGTGGGTAATCTGGACTGCCGTTTGGTGCATAAGCACAAATAGTCAGGACCCGTCCCCCCACCCGAAGGCGAAGGGAGGCTACCCTCTCGTCCACTGCGGTAAACCCCAATGTACAGGCACCCAGCCAGGGGGCAATAAGTATGCCCACCCCCGCTCGGCGCCACTCCCCGTGAGCAACTCCAGAGTGGAAGAGGGTCCAACCCCCTTCGAGGAGACTGGTTCCAGAGCCCAAGCCGTGCGTCGAGGTGAGCCCGACTATGTCTAGCCGGAACTTCACAACCTCGCGCACCAGCTCAGGCTCCTTCCCCATCAGAGAGGTGACATTCCATGTCCCTAGAGCTGGCTTCTGCAGCCGAGGATCGGACCGCCAAGGTCCCTGCCTTCGGCCACTGCCCAGCTCGCATCGCACCCGACCCCTATGGCCCCTCCTATGGGTGGTGAGCCCATTGGAGGGGGGACCCACGTGCCTTGTTCGGGCTGTGCCCGACCAGGCCCCATGAGTACAGGCCTGGCCACCAGGCGCTCGCCATCGAGCCCCACCCCCAGGCCTGGCTCCAGGGGGGGGCCCCGGTGACCCACGTCCGGGCAAGGGAAACCGTGATTCCATAATTTTTTTCATCATATGGGGTCTTGTGAGCCGCACTTAGTCTGGTTCCTCACCCCGGACCTGTTTGCCTTGGGTGACCCTACCAGGGGCATAAATCCCCGGACAACTTAGCTCCTGGGATCATTGGAACACGCAAACCCCTCCACCACGATAAGGTGTCGGCTCCTGGAGAGGACATGCCATTTCATAAATGAGAATATGGAACTGGTGAATATAACCCTGACAACTACAATGTTCCCTTTGGAAGAGGCAAAGACGGGAGAAAATATCAGATGGGAAATATATACTACTGGTGACAAAATTTTGTTATTGTCAGGGATGAGGATTAGCACCTCCAAGTCCGAGACCAAGATTCTCAGCTGGAAACGGGTGGATTGCCCTCTTCAGGTCAGGGAAGAGGTACTGCCTCAAGTGGAGGAGTTCAAGTATCTCGGGGTCTTGTTCACGAGTGAGGGTAGGCGAGATCAGTTTTGCAGGCGCTTAACCGGTTTGTCGTGGCTAAGAATGAACTGAGCCGGAAATCAAAGCTCTCGTTCTATTGGTCCATCTTCGGCCCTACCCTCACCTATGGTCATGAGCTGTGGGTAATGACCGAAAGAACGAGATCACGAATACAGGCGGCCGAAATGAGGTTTCTCCGCAGGGTGTCTGGACTCTCCCTTAGGATATCCGGGAGGGTCTCAGAGTAGAACCGCTGCTTCTCCATATCGAAAGGAGCCAGTTGAGGTGGTTTGGACATCTGGTGCCTCCTGTGTGGCTACCCGGAGAGGTTTTCTGTGCACGTCCTACTGGGAGGAGGTCCTGGGGCAGACCCAGGACACGCTGGAGGGATTATATCTCTCGGCTGGCCTGGGAACGCCTCGGCGCCCTCCCCGAGGAGCTGGTAGAGGTAGCTGGGGAGAGGGAGGTCTGGGTATCTCTCCTGAAGCTGCTACCCCCGTGACCCGAACCCCGGACAAACGGTAGGTAATGGATCGATGGATCGATGGATGGTGACAAAATTTGACCTTGACGCCTCTTCTCTCTATACAAAATTGTATGGGTGACCAATGAGGGGGCAAACATTAAATTGGCTCTGCAGCCATACCAGAGATTGGACTGCATTGACCATGTCATTAATACGGTACTGCACCATGGACTCAACATTGCCGAGTTATCCAAAGCCGACGGTGCTCCGGACATAGGAGATACCATTTCTGCTGCTGAATCATTAATGAGGTATGTTAAACAGTCGGGGTTGGCTGCGCAACTGCCAACAACATTACTGCAAATGGGAGACACTTGGTTCAGTACGGTGTACCTCACATTGACTTCAATACAGGCCATTTATCATGAATGCTTAAATGATGCTTAAAAATGTATAAATGACTCATTCTTGACAAAAGGCAAAAGAGCTGTGTGCGTGCGCACATTTGAATAATGTCGGGCTTTAAACGGGTTTGGGCTTTTAAAAAGCTGTCAATCAAAATGTACTTGTCGGGCTCGGGCCTTGTTGGGCCTAACTTTTAAGGCCTGATTACAGCTCTAATCTGAACACATTTCCCTATCTTTGGCTAATGGTGTGTTTGGCAGAATTTTATCGGTTTCCTGCTCTGTGCGGCTCTGTATATATCGCTAGCGTATTTCTGATAATGGGATAACTGATGGCAACACGAATGGTGAACTTTAATGGAATACAGCTTTTCTGTAAATGGTTTTTCTGTATGTTTCAACTGAGCAGTCAGATGTATTCCCCATCCACTTCGTGTTTATGCTACTGGAGTGAATCATAATCATTCTGAAAAGGTGAAAGTCTGCCTCGCAAGTACCTTGGGACCCAAAGTACCCTCTGTGTAAAGTGGCGATCTTTTTAATATTGAAGTTGACTTTTAGCAAATAATCATGTTCTGTGAGGCGCAGTGTTGCTAATAGGTAATCACCATTTTCCCTTGGGGTGTGAACACTAACAAATGTACAGCCTTAGTAATGCAATGAGTGTTGGTGGCCAGTGTGCTGTCACTGTAGATTTACATATGGCCCTTTAAATTGCCACATTAGTATACTCATTATGTCCCTGTGCGCTGTCTTTTTGTTTGGTGCAGCCTAGAGATTCTACATTGAGAATCTCTTTTCAATGTGTCGGAGATTTACTAGAAGCAGAACAAAAATCCTCTCCGCAGCACTGTCACAGGAAGTGAGAGGCAGGGGAGTAGCCTGTGATTGTCCTCAGTTGTGCCTCCACAGGTGGTACACATAGCAGTGCGCATTGCATTATAGGGGAAAACCATAATGGGGTTTGTAGTAGATTTTATGATCTAAATGTCATCGTATTGACAAAAGAATTATTGATACACTTTACAGGAAGTGTTTTGTTTCCCCTCCCTGTGTTTCAGCCGGCGGAAGTTGTGAACACTATGTGTGGGTACCAGGTGATTCAGAAAGAGGTAAGGCATGAACTCAGTCTCTCTGGGGTAATGTTTTCCTAAGCTAGCATTGCAGTTTTCTGAGATTTTCCCTTGGAACATTTCTGCCTGTAAATATGAGTCATATTCCGTGATATCCCTCATTGCCCGTATAATTTCATTCATGTTGCTCTTGCCACCTCTGGTCCTCAAACCTGCCACGGGAGTCCTGTTCTCTTTCACCTTCTAGACCCACTGTCTTTTTGTTATTTTTATAACATCCTTTATTTCGGAATTTATTTCAGAATGCATTTGAGCTGGCATGAGATTGAATATGTTGAAGGGAGAGGGTTTTTTTTTTACCTTAAAAACAATCTCACAACATTTTCTGTGACGACCAGACCTGTTTGCTGACCCAGGTTCCTTCCTTGCAGCGTCTCCAGTTGCAGCACATCATCAACATCCGTGGCTGCACTGACGCAGTCTTCATCTGGCTTATGGATAACTACAAGATTATGGCGGGGCTGCTGCTCGGTATCCTGCTTCCACAGGTGGGAGCGTCTCCTCCTCCTCTCCTACCCTCATCTCCTTCTGTCTCCTCCTTATCCCATGTTGTCCTCTTGCAATGTAAAATTATCTGCTTTTAAACTTACTTTAAAAAAAAAAAAAAAGGCAACAGTTTGCATGGATCTTTTGAAGTTAACTTCATGCTGTTTACATAAAATGAACTTGTTTTAAGTTACAATTCAGCCAAATAATTATTATAGAAAATTAAGTTTAAGCGATGTCATTTTAAGCTGTTTTATTAAATACAAGTAAATATTTTCTAAATTAACTAACTCTTAAGTTCTGCCAATATAGAAAGGTCTTTGCAAACTGTTGCCTTAATTTTCTGCTTTGAAACCACTCAAAACATTAAGCCATTTATTTACTACTACAAGTTAAATTTTCAGTTCACAAATGGTTGTTTATTCAATTTTCAAAATGGTAAAAACCATAGTTTATATACAAGTCTGTCTTCATAAAAATACACATTTCAAATTAAATATCTTTTTTTCTTGTAAGGAGGTACACCCATCTCCAACAAAGTGAGTTATTTTAGTTCACTATTTCTCAATGCATGGGCCTACATTTAAAGGTTAAATAAAAATGTAAGCATACTGTCTATGCAAGGTGCCTGGGCAATACCAAATAACAAACAAAAATGTTTCCTCCCATTACACCTAAAGCAAGAGCTTCAGCCAAAGTATCTAATCACAGTGCCTCTAAAAATAAATAATAAATGGGAGGTGAAGGAAATTGAAATAGCGAAGTAGAGCTGTCAGAATTTAGACATTTTGAAGGATATGGACACTAAAACTTAATTCAAAAATCCATACTGGTCTCTTGCACGCAAACTCTAAATTTAATGGTTACATTTCACTTCAGATTGGTTCCTACTTAACAGAAATCGGTAACTTTCGCCAACATTCACAGCATACTATAAAGCAGAATAAAAACATAAAGGAGATTAATAGGCTTCCCTGTGATCAGATGTAAGATTGCTTTTTGTTCTTTTGTCAGCAGCTATTCTTAGAAACATCCCTTCAGTGAAGTTACAGCAATACTTAAATCAAATAATGCATAAAACATTTATAACTGTTTAGAAAAGAACTTAAAATGCAGCATACCATATTTTTCACATATATCAAACGGAAGACTCAAGACTAAGACGGTCACTGGTCTTTATCAATTTCAAGGCATATAAAAAAAATCAAGACATCCCATATATTTCATACTTCCTAGACCACTCCATGCATCACATAGGAGGCATTCTTACGCCAACAACTTTTTTTTTTTTTGAGACATTGCTTTTGCGGAAAGTTTCAAACCATCAATTTCCAGGAAAATGTTTTGAAAAACTTTTAAAGTATATTTCAGTATTTTGGGGTACTGCAGAGTAAGGGCATAAATTAGCCCTATAATAGCAGCATACACCTGTGGAAGACTGAGACAGTACCACTTCCAAATCCTTGGAAATGTTTGTTGATCTGGAAATAACTGAAACATCACTTCTATGTAGAGCTGGGCGATATGGCCTAAAAATAAAATCTCCGATTTTAATCGATTTTCCCCTCCCCTACTCAAAATCAAACTACAGATGACAAAAATGGTTCAAAACAATTTTTAACTTTATTTATTTAGCTTTTTTTACTTTAGGGTTAAAGTGCAATCTGACAAGCCATAAAAGATGCTTGTAAGTGAGATGGCAGACCACGCCATTGTAAACACTTTTAGAAACTTGTAAAAACTTTTAGAAAGCTTTCTCTATAGCTTATTTTCAAACTGGCAACAACACAATACGCCCTCAAACTTATAAATAAAAGTAATAAGTAATATTGTAATAATAATAGAAAAAAACACACACAATTTTATCATGTCAGCTTGGTATTAAGTAAAATGCCATTGGGCTTGACATAGTGCAAAAGAAAGCTTTTGAAAAAGTGTTAAGAAAAATGAGTCACGTACTTCGGATCTAAAACTTTTAGCATGTTAATGAATCCCATCTTTTCCACAGTATGTATGGGCACCATGTCTACATACAAGTCGCACTATACATCGCGACAGCGTTTGCTATCGCCTTCCATCGTGCCCGATTCTTATCATATGGCACATAGTTCGAAAATGTGTCAGGGACGGTTGCTTGCTTAACTTTGTTTGTTGCGCTGGTGCTGCGGCTATTTTCATTTCGCTGGGAGCGGCACTTCTCCCATTCCGCTGCGTGCCTCTGCTTTACATGCTGGAATAAATTAGTCGCGCTGCTTCCTTTGGTTGCAACAGTTTTTAAAGTCTTTGCAACGAGGACTTGTTTGGTCTGTGTCCGACCTCGCAAAACCGAACCAATTCCAAATTACAGATGTAGCAACACCTTTCTTGGGCACAAGCGCCAGCTTTTCCCCTGTCATTGCCATGTTGTTAGTGAATCTGCTAGTGATGTGTCGTTCGCGAACGAGCCGGCTCTATAGACTATAAGAGCCGATGCTTTGAAGCGAACGAGAGGAGTCGAAGCTTCAGCCGCTGCTGCTCGGCTCTGCTGAAAATCCATTCGGCAGGGGCGGGACTTTATTTATATGGGCACACAGAACATTGGCTCATAATGCCGGCTCCTTCACGAACGACACATCGGACTAGGATCGTACCATTATGTGAAAGAAGGAAGGGGGGCAGACGCTCCGAAGACAGCGAGTGTTGGTACGGGACACTGTCGCTCTGTGCACCTGTCGCTGCGACAGACAAGGAGCCAGATTTAAATGCAAGCGCATCGTGAAGAAAAAAAGGAGTGAAGAAATGAGTGAAAGCCGAAAAAGAAGCAGCATCTGGTTGCATTTCAGTGATATTGGACACTGCAAAGCAAAGTGCAGAATTTGTAATATGATCCTTATCTAATATCTAATATATCCTTTAGAGCAGGGTCAACAACAAACCTGCACAGACATATAAGAACCACCCACCCATCCGTGCAACTGGAGGAGTAACTGTGTATTTTTTGTAATAAAAAAATGCATAAAAATACGTAATGTCTGAAAACAATGAATAAGAAATTGCTTATACACAAACCATTCATAATTGCTTAATTGGGCTAAAATATAAGCATCCAAGAAGAGCCGAAGAGCCATTCGGGAGCCGTAAGAGCCGGCTCTTTAAAGGGAGCCGATCCAAAAGAGCCGGAGTTCCCATCACTAGAATCTGCTACAGTGTTTGGGTGTGCCGCGCTAATTTACCCGTGAAGAATGGTGCGTCGCATTAGTTCCGCTTTTGGCGCTCGTGTGTAAAAAAAAAAAAAAAAGTAATAAAATCGATTTTCATGAAAACACATCGTCCTGAACGGTAAATTCGAATTAAATCGATTTATCGCCCAGCTCTACTTCTATGTTAATCAACAAATAACCAAAACCAGGAAATTTTACGTACAGTATATTCTACAAAAAGGCCATCATTTTATGATATACTCCAGTCTGCGTAAGCAATGGGAATCGAACGAATGGCAAAACAATTCCAAGAAAAATATTATAACTCCTTTAAAAAAAAAAAAAAGAAAAAAAAGAGTAGAATAAATGATTGTGCACATCCCTTTGACTCGTTAAGGAAAGGTAAGTGGAGACATTTCTCTGTTTTCGAAATTTCTATAGTGTGTTCTTGGTGGGTAGAACCAATGTATGTGCATCAGCAAGTATTTGTTTAATACAAGAAAAATTGTCCAGCCAGCTCAGTTTACAGGCATAGATCTTAGTAGATTTGTTGCATTTATTTTTAGTAAAGATTTTTTAGCTAACAGCATTTCATTGACAATTTAACCTTTGGGACCTGGTTGCCGCACAATGCGAACCAAGAACTCATGAACCCTTTGACACAGAAATCATACACTTACCATCAGAATCACATGACTCCAAACTTGACGGCACTAATCGTGATACCACTGTGTAACCAAGTGATTGTGAGTAATTGTGTGCATAAATACAACCCCAAAAAGCATCTGCATAAATCACACTGCTTATAAGTCAAGTCATATTGTGTGTTGTATTATTCATACAAATTGCCTTCATTGCCATATCTGACTGCTCGCGTGGAGTTCTACAGCACACTGAAATGATCCAACTTGGATCATTATTATAGACACCTTTTATAGCCTATAAATGACAAAATGCAGCATTCTATTCATTAGGGAATCATTTACTTGATATTTTCGCAATTTTTATTCACAAAAAAAATATATATGCCTGGTTGATGTCAAGCTCAATATTTCCAAAATTTCCCAGCTTTATTTCCCATGGAAAATTTTCATAAATTTATCAGAAATTTGCAACCCTAGTTACAAGTAAAAAGAACAAAACTCTTTCATGGTCAACATTTTTCTTCTGCAGTCTGTATTTCTGAGATTATATTGGTTCATTTTCCCTATTTGGGCATAATATAGGCAGGGTTTGGGTGTCTTACTGTTGTATCAAACTGACCAATCAGAGGAATGGCCATAACATGTATATATAAAAAAACGTTATCCTGCTACAAGCTAGTCATGTCATCAGGGGTGTTTTTTTTTTTTATTTTTTTTTTTTTGATGCCCAGAATCATAAAGGAGAGGAGCTGTGATTCCTTGACACAAATGAGCTTTTGTGCGTTTTTGTGTCTGGGGCTTAAAGTAGGATCTTGAGGTTCCTTGCGTAAGGTCTGTTGAGGTTCCTTTTCAATCCCATCAGGCAGAGGACACCATCAAGGGTTAAGGGTGGAAGGGAGGTGCCCTCTGCCTGCCGTGTGTGATCCATTGCAGGTCATGCTTCACCATGAGCGTGGGACAGCACCCAGTGCCTCCTGACTTTGGGGGGACTTGGGCTCTGTGCGTGGGTGTGCCTGGAGTTTGCTTGTGGTTGTGAATGTGCATTAAACACCCTAGCAGAGGTTTGACCCACCTCAGAGTTGATAGATCAGACGTGACAACTTAAATAATCTGGCTGAAAGTGGCAGGCAGACTGGGCCTGACTCTGCACTTCTCCCCAAGGCATCAAGCCAATCCCCCCCGGACGACGCATAACTCCTATCTCTGTCCTTGCAGTTCTTCGGTGTGATCGTGAGCTGGCTGTACATCACTCGGGTGGAAGACGCCATCACTGAGTATGGCTACCAGCTGGACAGCCTGCTCCAGGAGAGGCAGGCGCGGAAGCAGGGCAAGCTGGCCCGGTGCTGCCGGTGTCTACCCGAGCTGGACTGAGCCTAGGTCTGACAGACCTGGCCTGACCCTCAGCATGAATGCTTCTAATTTCCTCTTGTACATGTAAATATTAGGTACCTCTCTGTAAGGGGCATTGGTGATTATTAACATGGAATTACAGTTTGTGCTTTATAACAAGGATGGGAGTCCACACTCTGATGCAGGCGTATCTGTATTTTTTGTCTTAGTGGTGGGTTTGGTTTTTTCAAATCTTTTAAATTTTGGTTAGTTTCAGATGATTATTAACTCTCAGAAGTAGTAAATAAGCCACAGGTTAGTGGGTTTTGAGCGCGCAAGCAAGAACCGGATGTCATTCAGGGTGCCTGTATTTTTGACAGTTTTCTAATGGGTGTAATCTGCCTTATTTAAAAAGAGCATATGCAGCTGGACTTACAGGCCTGATCTCAAAACACTCCCATTTGCACCATCAGCAGTGCCCAGTAAAGATCAGCAAGGAAACATGTATCTGCACATGAAAGTAAAGGAGTGTTTTGATTGGCATCTTTTTTAAAAGCACTCCATGCTGTGTGTTTGTCGGGGGTCCCTCCCATAGAAAGAGATGCTCCATGTGCTCCTGTAAGTGGCTCGGTGAATTATCAGAGACCTGTGTAATTTGGGTAAACTTATGTTTGGAGATCTGCAAGCTGAATTCATTGTGATGTTTCCGCAGTCTTTTCTCGGGCAGTGCTCATCACAGCTGTCTATAAACTGAACCTGGTGAGGATGTGGGTGAGGTTTCCGATTAGTGAAAGTAATTTATGCATGCACTGTCTCTCCTCAAACATCAAAATGAGTCCTCCTTTAAGGAGAGCCAGAAGGCTGTGTGATGTAGGAATGGAGTTTACTGCAATGTACTTATTGAGAGCGAATGTTGCCACATCAAACCTCATCTGCCTCATCTGCCCAACAGACCTGAGGCAGATGAGGCATATTCCATAATGCTCTTTGTTTACAAGCATATTGCCTCTAACTCAGACCTGAGCATGATCCTCTTTTCAGGCACATTGGTTAATATGTTTCCAAGAAACTGCTGCGCTTTGGAGAGCACAAACTCTGCTGCACTGTAATAGCTCTAATATCAGCACTGTAACATGAATATTTTTATACTGTAGAGCCTATATTCCTGCCTAGTGCTCTGTTTTTATTTTCTATCAAAGTTGAGTACGACATGCAAGGTTTAAGCCTGTTTATTTTTACATCTGTTTTTTTTGTAATTCCTCAGTGACTGTTTATGACATGTAAAGGTGTATTGTGGATGCACGCAAATGGAAAAATAAATGTTTTAAGTGCCTCTGGGATGCCTCAGTGAACGTTTTTGGAAGATTCTCCCTTCCTGCTGGCCATCTCTCACGTTCCTTGGACAGAACGTGTACCTCTCCCCCCAGGTACATGCAGAACACCCACAGTGGTACCTCCAAAGTCTCTCACTTTGCCTGCTTTGAGCTCCTTTCTGTACCTTCAGCCTTCCCTGCCTGACATCTCAGTGCTCATGTCCATATTTGAATTCTGTAACTGGGCACCTTGTTCCACCCACCCCATCCTCATAGCCCTCCTTAAATTAATCTGTTTGCTGGCCAGACTCTTGTGACCTTCCTGCAAGTTTTTGGTGCCTCTAAAACCCCTGAAAACTTGGAAGTGAATTCCCTGACAGTTAACAAAGTTCTTGCTATATCTCTGGGTGCTGACTGGGAATTTTGTTGCTGTGCACAGTGTGTTTATGTGAAATCCAACACTGCTTTCTGCTTTTGTGACAAGAGCTGTCTATGAGGATCACTGTGGGAGACTGGCAGCCCATGACGGGGATTGGTGCATTCTCACTGGATCTGTCTTCATGAGTGATGCTCTAGGGCCCCAGACCTCTGACAGCAAGTTAAATTAACTCACATCTGAAGAATGGGTGGTGTGGAGTAGGCTATGACAGGAACACAGGAATCTTTGTTACCGTGGAGGAGACTGCAGCAGACTGATTGCCCCTGACCAAACAAGGCCCTGTTATTTCTTGGAAGTCAAAGAAGCAGCCACAGTGGCATTGTCTATTTGTGAGGTCGAATACATCGGTCTGGCAACCACTACATAGGAAAGCATGCATCTAACTGAACTGTGAAATACAGTGGAGGAAATAATTATTTGACCCCTCGCTGATTTTGTAAGTTAGTCCAATGACAAAGAAATGAAAAGTCTCAGAACAGTATCATTTCAATGGTAGGTTTATTTTAACAGTGACAGATAGCACGTCAAAAGGAAAATTGAAAAAATAACTTTAAATAAAAGATAGAAACTGATTTGCATTTCATTGAGTGAAATAAGTATTTGAACCCTCTAACAAAAAAGACTTAATACTTAGTGGCAAAACACTTGTTGGAAAGCACAGAGGTCAAACATTTCTTGTAATTGATGACCAAGTTTGCGCACATTTTAGGGGGAATTTTGGTCCACTCCTCTTTGCAGATCATCTCTAAATCACTAAGGTTTCAAGGCTGTCTCTGTGCAACTTTGAGCTTCAGCTCCCTCCATAGGTTTTCTATTGGATTAAGGTCCGGAGACTGACTAGGCCACTCCATGACCTTAATGTGCTTCTTCTTGAGCCACTCCTTTGTTGCCTTTGTGGTATGTTTTGGGTCATTGTCGTGCTGGAACACCCATCCAGCGACAATACAGTGGAGGAAATAATTATTTGACCCCTCGCTGATTTTGTAAGTTAGTCCAATGACAAAGAAATGAAAAGTCTCAGAACAGTATCATTTCAATGGTAGGTTTATTTTAACAGTGACAGATAGCACGTCAAAAGGAAAATTGAAAAAATAACTTTAAATAAAAGATAGAAACTGATTTGCATTTCATTGAGTGAAATAAGTATTTGAACCCTCTAACAAAAAAGACTTAATACTTAGTGGCAAAACACTTGTTGGAAAGCACAGAGGTCAAACATTTCTTGTAATTGATGACCAAGTTTGCGCACATTTTAGGGGGAATTTTGGTCCACTCCTCTTTGCAGATCATCTCTAAATCACTAAGGTTTCAAGGCTGTCTCTGTGCAACTTTGAGCTTCAGCTCCCTCCATAGGTTTTCTATTGGATTAAGGTCCGGAGACTGACTAGGCCACTCCATGACCTTAATGTGCTTCTTCTTGAGCCACTCCTTTGTTGCCTTTGTGGTATGTTTTGGGTCATTGTCGTGCTGGAACACCCATCCAGCGACAACCTCCTTCCCTCTGCCAGGAAACTGAAAATGGGTCGTGGATGGGTGTTCCAGCACGACAATGACAGGGGGCCATCACCACCATCAGTAATAACCCAGTGAACAAAGGACCAAACACATTGATGTGAAATTTTGTTTCATTTAGAATGCATTAAATGAAGGCAAAATAGACATTGTTTATTGCCCATCAAAAAACATGGTTGCAGACTTAACAAAACCGGTTGCAAAGATCAAAACGGTTAAGCTAAAAAGTTTTCTTTTTGGTGACAGTAATGTACATCTGTGGTGAATTTTGTTTTGAGATGGTGAGAACAAGTGGGGGTGTTGAATTATGTGTTCTTTCATAATATTTTACATTATCGATTTGTATTATTTTGTTAACCTGTAAGGTGTAATGTACCAAAAATAACATGCCCCTATATACAGTAAAAACCTTGGATTGCGAGTAACTTGGTTTGCGAGTGTTTTGCAAGACAAGCAATATTTTTAAAATAAATTTTAACTTTATAAACGAGCGAGGTCTTGCAATACGAGTATTACATATACGCTTTGGCTTGGTCTCAGTCGGCATGCCTCACTCGTATAGTCAAAATTTAGTAGAAAAGCACCACCCGAATAAGGGCGTAGCAGTGCGAGCAATGAATCTGTTTAACGACAATGCAATGTCCACATTTCCGCGAAATCGAAAAAGAGGCAAAAGCAGCTGTCATTGGATAGGTTTCTTGTTAAAGTCGCACAAAAAGAAAAAGATTCTAGTGAGCCAACAGATAGCAGTGATTCTGTTATAGTGAGTCGTCCTACAAAATAACCCTCCTCTTCTCCTCTCTCCCTCACAACATCCATGATTCTTTTCAAGGTAAAGTGCAGGTTAATTTGTTTTATGTCTTTTTACTTTATATTTTGTATTAATCATTTTTATATGAATATTTTTGGGTTGTGGAACAAATCATTTGAGTTGGAATTATTCATACCCCTGTCTGTTACGTTCAGCGGACGGGCGAACAAAGAAGTAGGCGAGAGAGCCGTTACTTCAGAAATACGGGGTTTAATCAGGGCAGACAGGCGACGAACATCAAACAATACAATGACTAATCTGGGAAGATTAACTCAGACACGGACTAAATACACAGGACAAGCCAAGAGGAACAGGAAACAGGTGATGACAATCGGGAATTAACACGAGGTAACGAGGTGGGCGTGGCACACACGAGGATGGGACGAGCTGGGCGTAACACTGGCAAATTTTGACTTCAAGTTACTTTTATTCAACCAGCAAGTTTCTTCTTGATTGGAAATGACACAGGCTTCTCCCAGAAGATAAGACAATGTACAAGAGGCATTCTCAGCTTTGATTTATATTTGAACAAAAAGTGGCATGTCCAAAATTATTCATACCTTTCTCAATAATCAATAGAAAAGCCTCTATTGGCTATTACAGCAATCAAACACTTCTTATAATTGCTGACCAGATTTTTGCATGTCTCCCCTGGTATTTTTGCCCATTCATCTTTAGCGATGAGCTCCAACTCTTTCAGGTTGGAGGGTCTCCTTGCCATCACCCTGATCTTTAGCTCCCTCCACAGATTCTCAATTGGAATGGTCAGGCTGGGACTGCAAAATGTTAATGTTTTTGTCCGCTAACCATTTCTTCACCACTTTTGCTGTGTGTTTTGGGTCACTGTCATGTTGAAATGTCAAGTTTAGGCCAAGTTTCTCTGCAGACTGCTTAATGTTGTTGTTGAGAATCTTCATGTATTGCTCTTTTTTCATGGTGCCGTTTACTGTGATTAGGTTCCTTGGTCCATTGGCTGAAAAACACTCTCAAAGCATTAGGTTCCCACCACCATGTTTAACAGTGGGGATGGTGTTCTTTGGGTTGAAGGCTTCTCCCTTTTTATGCCAAAAGAAGGATACATCACTGTGGCCAAACAATTCAATTTTTGTTTCATCTGACCATAACAGAAGACCAGAAGTCGTCTTCTTTGTCCAGATGAGCATTTGCAAAGGCCAAATGGGCTTTTGTGTACCTTATCTGGAGAAGTGGCATCCTCCTTGGTCTGCATCTGTGGAATCCAGCATTGTGCAGTGTCCGTAGGACTGTCTGCCTTGAGAGGTTTCCACCAGCAGAGCCCAGATTCACCAGGATGGCCTTGGTGGTGATCCTTGGATTCTTTTTCACCTCTCTCACTATCCTCCTGGCCAACACAAGTGTCACTTTTGGCTTCCAACCACGTCCTCTGAGATTTTCCACAGTGCGGAACGTCTTGTATTTTTTAATAATACTTTGCACTGTAGCCACTGGAACTTGAAAACATTTCGATATGGCCTTATAGCCCTTTCCTGACAAATGGTATGCGGGTGAAAGGTGCAGAGAGAGAAGTTGTGCCTTGTTAACTTATTTGTAATCTCTCTTTTTAGGAATAAATCTGTAAGCATCGATTTGGTCGTGTCTGTCATTCTTCTGGAAGAAAAATCAACACAACACAGATTGAAGTCCGCTACATTTACATACAAGTCTATTATATTATCCCCCTAAACATACCCTGGAATAGTTCTTAGTAGTCAATAATGAAGCACATAGGATATTATCTTATGTTATGAATGAAAGTTACCTATATATAGCTGTTCTGTCCTAATTGTGCGTCTGTTTGCCCAACTTGACAGAGAGCTAACGGCGTTAATGAATGTCAGATGCAGATGAAGTTTAATCCTCACTTCGTTTTATTTACACGAATGAACATTAATTCTCTTCTTTCTTTCTCATTTTTTTGATCGTTCATTTATTCGTAAAACTGAAAATAAATATAAAACACGCGTAATAAAATGTCCATTGCCTTCCGACATCTCACTATGAACCACATAACATGCACATAGCGGTAGTTCACAAAAGGATAACCAAATACTAGCATAGATGTTTCACAAACGAACATCCATAACAGCATCTTAATATTGCATAGCTAGCTAACATCAGACAGCATAGACATAAACATGCTGCTCATCACTTAATTTAGCAATACATGTCATAGATACAGTGGTGGAATGTAACAAAGTATTTGTACTTCGTTACTGTACTTAAGTACATTTTTACGTATC